ATGTAAATACAGATAAACAAACATGTAGACATGTATTCATGTAAATACAGATAATTAGACATGTAGCTATGTGCTCATGTAAATACAGATAAACAAACATGTAGACATGTATTCATGTAAATACAGATAATTAGACATGTAGCTATGTGCTCATGTAAATACAGATAAACAAACATGCAGATATGTGTTAATGTAAATATAGATATACAAGCAGGTAGATATGTGCTCATGGAAATACAGATAAACAAACATGTAGATATGTGTTCATGTAAATACAGATTAACAAACATATGACCAGATCACTAGTCTGTACCCACCTGAAGAATTGTTTTGTAAGGCGACCAGATCACTAGTCTGTACCCACCTGGAGAATTGTTTTGTAAAGCGACCAGATCACTAGAGGTTAGGATCTTGCTGATAGTGGTTACATAATTACACCTGTAGCAAAGAAAAATATTAAAAATACTAAACGTATGAAATATGCCATAATTGTCATCAGGAATATTAAAATACTAACATACAGGATATGCTTTTGTGGAAAGAAAAAAACATTCTTTCGTTATTGTACACTAGTAGTGTACACTTAATAATCTCTTAGCATTGATCATTATGAATACGAATTTGTATTACACAGTAACGTTTTTACTTTTCTTTTCATTTCAGACCTTAGTAGTTATCCCGGATACTGTGTCCATTGCTGTTAGAGGGCGCCAAATGCGTGCAGACCTCGCAGAAGGGAGGGAAGTGGTAGAGAGGATTATGTCACCAGAGACGATGACGTCATAGTTCCACTAGGTAGAACCAGAGGGTGCATTGCTAGGGACACACGAGGTATATCAACGTGTCTCAACGTGACTAGATTTAAAACACTAACTCATTAGTTCTATGTATAATTACATTTCCTGAACACATATATATGTAAATCTTCCTGAAAAAGAACGCTTATTTAAATATCATCCAAGAATTTAAAATTTACTGTTTCACTAGTTTGATCATAAATCAAGTGATTATTTCAAAGGTTTTCGGTAACGTGATTATACGAAAAACTTCTGGGCATAATATTTATTTTTAATGCTCACAATAAAGATTTTGCAATCTGATCTACGTAAAAAGCCACATCTATTAAGGACGTATTTACAGGAAAACATTTTACAACAAAATCATGAACAAAAATATCATTACTATCTTTGTTGGATCCAAATTCAAGTAGGAGTTTTCATTTCGACACATGTCGATAACGATAATAAACATAACATATACAATGTTATCTACACGTGAAATTAGTTTATAAACGTACAACGACCATACTTTAGTTTGCATGTTTTTGTTTATATTTAATAGAACATTGTTATTTTTAGTCATATAACACCATATCTTCCTGCTTCTAAAATACATGTTTGATTTGTAGAACACTATCTCTCTCTACTTTTACCTTTTTTTATTATTTGTATTTCCATGAGCACATATCTACCTGCTTGTATATCTGTATTTACATTAACACATATCTATATGTTTGTTAATCTGTATTTACATGAACACATATCTAGGGTACAGACTAGTGATCTGGTCGCCTTACAAAACAATTCTCCAGGTGGGTACAGACTAGTGATCTGGTCGCCTTACAAAACAATTCTCCAGGTGGGTACAGACTAGTGATCTGGTCGCCTTACAA